TTTGAGCAAATGTTTATTGCGTGCTGCCACCAGAATGCTGCAGTTATCTTGTGCCAGACGTGCACAACAGACTCCACTGAGGAATAGGGGAACTGCTCTCGTTTGTTTATTTTGTCTCCAATACCACGATGCCTCACGGCACTGGCAGGGCTGAGGCCCAGAGCTCAACCCTGAGCAGTAGGTTTTTGCCCATGGTAACTCTCCTTGGGGGAAAAAGCGGCATCTGTACCTACGCAGACAGCTGAGCTGCATCTGCTCCCCGGCCCTGTGGGGAAACGCGGGCTGTCTGGCTGTATTTCTCCTCCTGCCTTCCTAAGCAGGTCTTGATCCCTTGTGGGTTTTGCTTGGCATCTCTGCAGCTCATGCTTTCATCCCGAGAGCCCTGTTCCATGTGTCAGACCCTTTTCCAAACACAAAGCTATGGGGTACCTGCAGCACACATAGCTGGCGTGATACGTACGTCCGAGGAGATTCCTGCGTGCTCCTGAAGCTGCCTTTGCTGCTCCCATGCTAAGCAGGCGCTTTTGCTGATTTGATGTGTGCAGTTTTGAGAATCACAAGCGAGCTGCCTGGTTGCATGTCTGATTGGAGACTGATAATCCAAGTACCAGTTGGTACCGGTATGGGACTGGCAGACCCAGAGGTGCCACTCCTATCTGTGATTTGGACTATCTGTTTAATATGATCTTGGAATAAAGAAGGGCTATAAAATCCCTCAGTCTTCAGATACATGCTGCATGTACATTTTGTCTCCTAGGTGTTTAAAACATGATGCTTTGTAGATAGTATGATGGAGAAGCAGGACAGCCTTATATTAGGAAGTGATTTGAATGTCTGGAAATAATAACCCTGGATGAGCTTAGTGTAGTAACAAATCAGTGTCCATGTTTTCCCTTCAGAGAAGGGTCAATGTTGTTAATCAGAAAAGCACACGTTGTGTTTTGCAGAGTTGTTTTCATTTGGTAACTGATCCAGCGTCAGGACATGTTGAGACCCCTGTGTTCTTCTCCATTCGCAGCCTCTTGGAGCATAGTCTTACTTCTTGCCTGCAGATCACTAGTGCTTAGGAGGAGACCTCACTTCCCTGCCTTCTTTTCCCCTTCTCGATCTCATCTGAGGTGCTCCAGTTCTGGTTTTGCAGTTTGGGTTCAAGCAGAATCTCAGTGATCCTTGCCATAGCTAAGGAGCTATGAGCCCCTCACCCATTGCAAGTGCTTTTCCAGTTAAACAGATTAACTGCGAGAGTGTACCTTTGACATCTGGGTATAGGCAGTTCAGGATTTTCTTCCACTTCATTGGAAATTCACTTTTTTTTTCCACTTGGGACCCCCGTGTCCCCTCCTGACAGATGGGTCGGTCTTGTGTTTTGTTGTGGAGGTTGTGACTGATCATAAACAAGGCTCAGTATTTCGTGCAAGTGGGCATTTAAGCTAGGGAGTCCTCTGATATTTGTGATTGGGTCAGCTTAATTGCAGTTTTTCCATCTAAAATGCCTACAATCTTTCTGGTGGTGTTGCAGACCGTTGGGATGTCTGTACCCATGGGCTGCTCTGTAACGTGTGTTGACTCAGAGTTCTTAAATCACTTTCTGTGGTTCGGTGGGTCATGCGTTAGAAACTGCTGGGCTGGAGTGGCTTCTGCAGGGCTGTTCTTGGGCTCTCGGCTGTTACCGGTCTGGAAACTGGTTAGTCTTTTCTTTGGAAGTGGGGTTGAGGCAGTCTGCTCCTCTCTGAGAACAAAAGCGTGATCAGCTGCCGGGTTGCTGCTGTCACTGCACACAAGAGCAGTTTATGTTTAATGTGACTGATGTTGAAATAAACCACACCTCGGTTCTCAAGTAAGAGTGACCTTTGGCAAGACTGCATCGAAATAAATAAGGTGTGATTTTAGTTACTTTAAGTTGGGTTTCCTTGGAGACAGGCCCTTAGGAACTCCTGCTGCCAGTTCCTGTGATGTTTGCTGGTTTAACATAAACAAAACTAAGAAAATTGCTCTCTTCTCAACAAAAGCATGAAAATTTCCCAGAAGTGCGATCTGTGTAATAGTGTGCTGTGTTCTTGATATGCTCGTTAAAGAGATGCTGAGAGGTTGTACTGAGACTGGGGGTCACATTTTACATATCATTTTTACTCCTTTTGCAAAGGGCCATCTTTAACGCGGCTGAAACTTCTTTGGAAGATGGGAAGTTTTGGCATAAATTGGTTCCTTTGACCTCTTCCTGCTTTTATGTAAGGGAATATCCTGCTGGTGGAATACATCTCTGCTTCCCTGTGATGACCCTCGTCTGGTTTGGGACCCTGGAGTGTCTGTAGTCAGCTGTTGTAAAACACAGCAGCCCAAAGGCTATGCTGGCTTACATCGGGGTCAGATGCAGGGCAAACTGAATTTTTGGGAGACAGCTGGTTCCCAGAAATAAACGACTTTTTAAATCACCTGTGTTTCATTTAAAATCAGCTATCAGATAAAATCTACCCTAATTTTTTGTCTGGAATAGCTTTTTGGGTGGAAGCCTTTCTGCCCTTGGAGGTGGGCTAGAGGGATGGTTCTGCCTTTAAAATCTGTTAGTCTTTAAATGAGTCTCTATGACATGAGCTAAAAAGCCAAAGCAAACACTGCTGCACCAGTTCATCAACATTCCCTCACAACCCGCTGGGAACGTGATGTCCACAATTCTGGATAGCAGAGGGCCTGGAGAAGACCTTGCATCTGTGCTGTGCAGGCAGGACCCCTGTGCATGGTTGTCTTTGAGTCCAGCAGAATGAAACGTAGTTGTATAAATGCCCACGGATGGGGAGAGCGGATTTCTACCTGTGCTGTGAGTGGGGATGGTCTTCTTCCCCCCACCCCTGCTTTGTAGGTAAGGGTGAGCCCCTCGGCAGCCCCAGCCCAGGCGCAGTGCCCACGCAGCCCGATGGCTGTGGGGATGGACCCTGGCAGGCAGAGGGGTGGAAGGAGACCCTCTCGCGTCCTCCCAAAGGGTGCGAGGGGCCGTGTGGCTGGGGAGG